GCATCATATGTGAGTTTTGAATGTCCTACAGCTCCACTATCAGAAGTACGATTTAACCACACACCCCGACCTTTAGGTAATTTAGGAGTGGTAAACTGATCCATGCTAACACACTGGCTACTGTTAAGAATTAAAAAGAGGAATAACTTGATTTAGCTTGTTAATTTATTCCTCTGTCCTAGGTTCTTGTGTCTGTGTAAGTGTGGAGAGAGAAAAGAGCAATCATACGACGTCAGACTTCAGATATCCAGAGTTTTATCCAGAGAAATTCAATGCAAGAAGAATGTTACAATAAGCATCTCACCTAGATTATCAAAAGTCCAAGACATGACAAAACAGAAACAATTAACTGAGTAAAAAAACAAAAGATGCATCTTCCGGGAAACTCTCACTCAGCACAAAGAGATTCGAACTTCTGCTGTGAAACAAACCATTTTATGAGAATGTGTATTCTCCTCATTTGAATATATGCATTAGGAGGTGTGGTCCTTTCCTTTGTGTGGGCTGTCTTAAATGTTAATTTTATTACCTCCTGCTAAAGAGCCCCAAAGGCAGATATATGGATTGTCAAACTGGGTCTTTGCCGTACCAGGCGTCTCCTGCAATCTCCCTGAGCTAAATTTACGACCTCTGTCTGTTTTAGTTTTCTACCTCAAATGATTCCACAAGAAAGTAGTTTGTATTTTTAATCAAGCTTGCACAAAATGTAATGCTAAATAATGACTATAAGTTTGGATCTAAAACTAACTAATTCAAAACATGCTTTTTAATGCTTAAAGAAATATACCAATATGTTTGATTATATGTTGTAACGGACTTCTATAGTTTTTAGTGTTTGCCTGAACTATTCAACCCTGAGTAAAGAATTTATTGCCCTGATAGCCAATACACTCCCTGTCTGAAATGTTCCTTAAGGAGTATAAGACTGCTTTCTGATTAGGAATTTATGTAAGTTCAGAGAGTCACCAGTTGTCTTAGTTTGGATTTGTATCTAAGTTTATCTTAACGTAAAAGTTAACTTATGTACCTATTGTGCTACTTTAAAATTCTATTTCAACACTACCTTTAAAACTAAAATGTACCACAGTATTGTTTCCAATTAAAGAAAAAAAACAAAGCAGAACTATCATTTAAATGAGAGAAAATGAGAAATAAAAAAAGCACACCATAAATTTTTAAACATTTTTTTAGTTTTTTTTATGGTCTTATTGACCTGACCACGAAAGGATCCCAAACTGTACATGAGGTCAGGTGCACAGCAACTATGGCGAAGAGCGTCGAGCTGATCTGAGGATCCAAAGGGTCTTATTGCACCAGTGTAACGGGTCTTATTGCCGTGTTCGTGGAAATCATTCAGCCAGAATGTACGATTGCACCATTGATTCTGAGGAGAAGATTAAAAACAGTGGACCTGATCTGAATTTTTATGTTCAGATTGGGGGAAGTGACTCTCCCAACCACTCCCCTCCAGGTCTCACTGTCATCTCCCACGTGAGCGTTGAAGTCCCTCAGCAGAACGAGGGAGTCCCTAGGAGGGGCACTCTCCAGTACCTCCTCTAAGGACTCCAAGAAGGGTCGGTAATCTGACTTGTTGTTCGTCCCGTAAGCACAAACAACAGTCAGAACCCGTCCCCCCATCCATAGGCAGAGGGAGGCTACTCTCTCATTTACCGGGGTAAATCCCAATGTACAGACGTGAACAAGTATGCCCACTCACCACGGGCAACTCTAGAGTGGAAGTATATTGAGCCCCTCTCAAGGAGTCTGGTTCCAGGGCCCCCTCCCTCGGCTGCCTCCCATCTTCACATCACACCTGACCCCTTTGGCCCCTCTCGCAGGTGGTGGGCCCCTGAGAGAGGGGGCCAGGTTTCCTCTTCAGGCTCAGCCCGGCCAGGCTCCATGGGTAAAAGCCCGGTCACCAGGCGCTCGCCATCGTACCCCACCTCCAGGCCTGGCTCCAGAGTGGGGCTCCGGTGACCTGCGTCTGGGCAAGGGAACACAGAATCCAAAGTTATTTATCATCATTGGGGTCTTCGGGCTGCACTTTGACTGGTCCCTGACGTAGGACCTTTCTGCCTAGGACCTTTCAAGCCCCTGACAGTGAAGCTCCTAGGATCATTGGGGCACTTAAACCTCTCCACCACGATAAGGTGGCAGCCCGAGGAGACGGTTGGGTGGAATTTTCTTGTCACTTCTCTCCCTGCACTCCAGCCCTAAACATAAAAATAAAAAGTTTTCAAACAAGCTGCGCTGGACCAGCATAGACTTGGGGACATGTTCGCACCAAAAGAAAACTGACAGTAAAACTGTCCAATAAACCCACAATACCGATCAAAATTGCTACACAACACACTAACAAATAATAAGAAACAAAATCTGCCAGAGATCTTTACATGAACAACTACTTCCACACAGAAAACAAATGTATATCATAGCAGCGGACTTTTCCTCGACTTGGCCTCAGCAGCACAGAACAACAAAGCTACGAGAGCCGGTCTTGTGTGAAATTTCCCCTCCATAAAATGGGAAAAAAATGTATGTGCCTGCAAGTCTTTTACTGTGTTTATTCCTCTCTTTATCAACAACAAATCCTGTAAATATGGTAATATTTACTCTTTATTTTCCAAAGTTATGAGGGGGAAACCAATTATTTTACCCTCCTGAAATGATTTGTTTCCCCTACATACCATGGGAACAAATTAACTTATTTGAAAATCTTTAACTACAATCTTCTCATCATCAACAATAAATCTTGTAAGTTTGAAAACATGTGTTCATTATTTGCCAAAATTAGGATTGGGGAACCAAATATTTTACCCATCTGAAATAATCTGTTCCCCCACTATAACATGGCAGCTAATTAAATTATCAGCATGCTTGTTCCTCGCTTCACTAAAAATTAGCAACTAGAAATTTCTCTTATCCATTAATCTGTCACATTGAAGATTAGAATGGGATTTTTCAGAAACACTCATGTTTCTGGAACATGACATTAGATTTCAGGAAGTCTAATCTTCATGTCCTTCTGTCAGTCAGCTTCCACCCTCTTATACTAGCAATAAAAAATTATAAATTCAATTTAAATTGACAGTTTTCCAAATTGTGTTGGAAAACTGTTTGGTGACTGACTTTTTAGTCAGGCTTGAGTGACAAAAGTAGGAAAAAACTGATTCTCTTGGCAATTAAAAAAAATACAAAAAACAGTGCAAGAATCCCTCATTTGTTTATTTATTTTTATTTATTTATTATTATTTATTGCTTCCTTTTTTAAACAGCAGCTACCAATTGAACTGACTGTCACAACCTTGACATGATTATATGAGTTGTTTTACGGAGAAATCGATCAGAAGCGACGTGAAAACGGTCAGATCCGCCGGACCCGCCACTCTGGCTGCAGTGAGCGCTCCCGACACGGGAACAGAATTCCACACAAGGTTGCAAGTACAGTTTGTGGCCCCTTTCTGCAGCAAACAGAAAAGGGAGGGATGGACCACTGTCAGACTCACCTTATTTGGAAATGGGGCCATTGCACTCTGGTAGTGAAGGGGGCGCTATTTCCTATATTATCAGTGGCCTCCCGCTTTTATTTTCTTTTGAAATTTGTAGTACATTTTCACCTTTAGGAAGGATTTTCACTCTCGGCATGTATTTGAAGTTTTCTCTTTTATTTACTTCACAATACCACAAAGTCTTTATTATTAATTCTGGTATTAGTGGAACCGTAAAAGACAAATTCCCTCACAAAAGAACACACCTTTTCATTTTCTTAAGGCTGTAAAGCTAATTAAATGACAGTCAAAACCTGAAAGTGATTCCAGTTTCACTAGTTGGCCAACCTGTTGAAACTGTGGCAAATTTTAAATTTTGTGTCATTCTTGGACAGCTCAACTTTGATGAAAACACTGTATCTTTAAGAACTGTTCTCAGAGACTATCTTTTAAGAAGACCCAGTGATCTTAAGGTGAACAACCTCTAAGTTAGGTAAAGGTTGTTGAGTTAAAATGTTAAAACTTAACATTCTAACTTGAGTTTTAACTCAACTCAAGTTAAAACATTTTAACTCAAGTTTGAACTTTTCATCTCCTCAGCTGCAGAATAACAGACAATCTTTTAAGAAAACTTTCAATGACAGGTATAACAGCAGGTAAATAGTGGTGAAACCAAAAACAACTCTGTCTCAGCTGTTTGCTGAAAGAACATGGAAGATGGCAAAAAATATTTTATCAGAGAGCATCCATCCTCTTTATTCATCAGTTTGCACCTCTGAGTTCATGAAGGTGTTACTGTTTTCCGCTGGCATCTATTAGAAGTCATTCATTGACAGTGCAAAAATTATTCTCAACCAAACTAAATGATAACATTTACCTCCAGCTTGCTAAGTGTTTTGCTCTATTCACAAATTGTTGATAATGTAATTCTATGACTGTGATCTATCATTTTAGAGGAAAATTTACAAGTTGATTGACTAAATAGTTTCATCTTATTTTTTTCTATGTATAAGACTCTACCAACAAAAGTCTCTCATAATAATATAAATGACACCGTAAAAAAAATAGAAATTTTTGCTTGTATCTGTTTAACAACCCTGGTTATGACAACCTCTGTTTTTATTCTTCTATTCTCAATTCATTTGTTTGTTATTGACTTTTGCCCAATTAAATTTCTTATGTATACATTGCAAATGGTATTTTTATTATAGTTGATCATGATGTTTTTCATGTCTCCTTATTTCCTTTTGTTATGAGAAATAAATATACAAATAAATATAACTAAATCAAATAAAATTTATAAATACTCAATAGAACATGAATTAGAAATAATAAAGTACATTTGTAACTGTTATACAAGCATAACTTTATGTAAAAAAAAATAAATAAATGACTGCCACAGCGTCAGCAGCAGAGCATATTTCACCTCAGGAAGTTCCTCTTCAAAGAAGAGTATTCAAATGGATAGCTTTAGCTTTATTAAAATATCTGAGTTTTTTCTTTCTCTTCCAGGTTTCTTTCCTGGGAATGCTCAGAGCTGTGAAGCCTTCTTGCGGCACAAGATGACTTTAATTTCACCCTCAATCCTCAAAAAATATGGTATACCATATGAGAAGGTAATCCACGTTATGAGAAGGTAATCCATGTTTTCATCTCCACAGAGATGATAACATGTTTTTCACAAGTCATAAACTGAAAGCCTGCTGAACATAAGCCATGTAAGCCATGCTTAATATAAGCAAAGCTTCCATTAATATATATCAATGGGTTGGTCCAAATGGTTTTCCACTTGGATCCGCTTCCTTTGAGGATGTCTCCAACCGGCACTCACTGAGAGTGTCTGTAATCAGAACTGTGATGATGATAATAATAATAATAATAATGGAGGAACTGGGTTCCGGTCTAAGAAACGAATTCCAATAATTGATGTAAGCTAAGCTTACATTAATCATGGCTTATATTATTTTCATATAAGCCATGCTGATTTATATTATTTTAAATCAGATTTTACTGCTTTTGTTTTTAAACCACCATTTGAGTAAGCAGTATCTTCTCTCGCTTTTTTAGCTTTTGCTTAATGTTTTTCAGCTCCATCTTGTCAGTTGTTGTAGCTGCAGGGTGAGTCAAGTACAAATCATGTGGGGTCCAATTCAAAAATACTTTATTCATCCCAAAGGGAAAATAGTCTTACAACTTGTTTAATTAAAGAGTTATTGTCGATGCTGATGACTGTCCTCTCTGCAGGGTCTGTTACAACAAAGCCTCTAACTGATGAGTGATAATCATGTTTCAGTGACTACATAAGAAAAGTCAGGTGGAATATAAATGCATCTTCTTTTTTTTCCTGCTATGTTAGGTCACTCAGGAAGCTGGGCAGTTCATTGTGACTTTTCCATTTGCTTATCATGCTGGTTTCAACCACGGTTTCAATTGTGCTGAGTCCACCAACTTTGCTACACAGCGATGGATTGATTATGGAAAACAAGCTAAATTGGTATGTTATCTACAGTCTCTTTTACACAAGTAAAGCAGGTCAAAATGAAATGTCTAACTTGCAAGTATTGAGGTCATGGCACTGCCTTGAGACACAAAGGAGTAAATCAAAGCGACATACCAAAAGGACTAATAAAAGACAAGCTAACCAGTTGTCATAAATATTGTTTATTAATCTTACATACAATAGGATTAAATCAGACATTTATTCATCTGAGCCTTAAACTGACACAATAGCGTTAGGTATTCTGCTTTTAACATGCTCCAGGTGAATGTACCTTTATTCGCACAAACCATCTTTTAACAAGCACCTAAGATCTGATGAAGCTCATTATTGTGTTTTTTTTCCCATTTGCCGCTGTCAGGCCTATGGACAGTTCAGTCCATCAAACGTACAGTGTCTCTAAAAGCCCACTATGCTGAGGAATTTATGCAAATGTAGTTCCACAAAGTTTGTTATTATTGCAGAGGCTATATTGTTTTCATGGTTCCATCTATGCTTCCAACATCAACCTCTATATTGTTGGTACCTTCACACATGTGACAGGGACACTGTATTACACAAAATAGATTTTTTCACGTTTTGCCTGTCGCTGATTACAGATTGGATTCTCATACACCATCTGCTTTTCCATGATCACTTAATGGAAATTAGTTTAAGCACAGCCAGTGTTTCTCCTCCTTGTTAATACTTTATACAGAATCTAAGGTACTCATGCAATACAAGTTGTGCATGTCCAACATTGTTTTTCGTCCAAATGTCTTACTTTGATACAGTCCTCCAAATTTGCTTTTACAGTTTCCACATTAATAAACTCAAATAACTAAACCTATTTTGGTTTTTAAGTTTAGATCCCAGTTATGTTGCTGTGTTGCATGAGTCAGTTGAAAAATCAATGTTGATGAGAAAGCCTTTCCTGGCTCTAGTAAATCACAAAAAGACTGTCTGTCACATAATTAACTTAAAACTAACTTCAAAGCAGGGGTAGAACCACTGTAGGAGTAAAACTGGACATCTGGAGTAAAAAAAAAGGATTATGCAGTCAAAGCGGTATAAGGATGGAGTCGGATGTCTGACTCGGCCTATCAGATCCCACAACAGCTCTGTAATCTGAATCTATTGCTACATTTGTCATCGACCAGTCAACTGAAGGAGACAAAACCCTGATCAAAATTTTAACTTGGAGGTTAAAACTCACACACAAGTGACAGAAATTGAGAGTTTTATGTGTAGATTTTTGTTTTGTGTTTGTAAAAAAACCTTAAAAATGTGTAACTTGTGTAATTTTTTCCCCCAATATTTTTCACACAGAAAGGTTCTTATCTGTGATTGTGCAAAGATAAAATTCTCAGTTTCAGCCATTATGCTACAAGATTACAAAACTCAACTCAGCAAGTTTGTGAGTGTTATTTGTGCCCATACCCCAAACCCAACCCTTGGCCACCAAGGTGGCAAGGCACCACTAAATTCTATACAAATGTGGAAACTTGGAAAATATTTAATTTCAAGACCAAAATGACCAATTTCAGCAATACAGACTACTCTAAACTTCTTACTAACACACTATATCTAACAATGGCAGAGACCTCAACTGGCTAGCTTTAAGCTACAAAATGTTTTCTGTTGGTGTCTGCAGTGTTCTTGCCGTCAAGATATGGTGAAGATATCTATGGATGCATTTGTACGCAAGTTTCAGCCAGACCGTTACAAACTGTGGAAAGCAGGGAAAGATGACACTCCCATTGACCACTTGAAACCAACTCCAGAGGCTGCTGAGTTTCTCCGAAAAGAAAAAAACAATCCCTGTAAGAAGATTTCCAGTGAAGCATCGTCTGAGGAGCTAACGTCTGCTGCACAGAAGGACGAAAGGTCTTGTTTTATTCTACTCTTTTATTCTATTCAATATTCTGTGACTATTTTATTACAGAGGAGAATGTTAACAAGTCTTCCCTAAGTGTTATAAAATATGAAAAATTAAAAAATTGACATATCTGGTCATAGCAAAAGACATTGAGCCACTTTTGCACACTGCCTCCACTTGCATGTCAAAAGGGTGAACCTATGTTCAAATCATTCAAAATACTTTGCAGCCTAAGAAGGGAGGCCCAGACTTCCCTCTCCCCAGCCACTTGTTCCAGTTCCTCTGAAAGAATCCCAAGGCCTTCCCAGGCTAGTCAAGCATAGTCCCTCCAGCATGTCCTGGATTTTCCCCAGGCTCTCCTGCCAGTGGGACATGCCTGGAACACCTCACCAGGGAGGCGTCCAGGAGGCATCCTGACCAGATGCCTGAGCCTCTTGAATAAAGGCCACTAGAGCTAAATAAATAAATAAGTTTGTCAATCCCTGGACACTTTGTAAAGATCTTTGAGCATTGCTTTTGAATCTGTCTGTAATACTTGATTTAATTTTCTCAGCTGGCATCATCTTAAACCTTTTGTGAAATTAAAAAACTGTCTTAGATGTGTCCTTAACATTTTTAAATGATTCAGCTCAAATCCTCAAAGTGGGAAAAAACGTCCACCTGAACCTGTCCAGACCTCTGAAGGAGACAATTGTGATGTAAGAGTCAAGGAGGGGGTAGAGCCTGAGAAACCCAAGCTACCAAGGAAGAGTTCTCCCAACAAAGTCCCAGCTTCCTCAGGTCAGGTGCCAAACTCTTCAATTTATTCTTGTCTTTCTGACACTTTTTTGCCTTTTTAGTCTAGCCTCTTTTCGCCTGGTTGTCATATCCTTAGATAAAATAAAATAAAAAAAACTTTCACATTGTTTGGATCCTACATTCATTCTAATAGGTAGAATTAGAAATATTGACACCACAGGGTGATCTAAAAATATTTGCATGCTATCCTCCTCTGATACTAGTGCTTTATAGTAATACATTGTCCCAAGTTGAATTCATCCAAGGTTTGCATTCTTGTCCAGACACCTTAAAAGTAGTTGAGGATTTACTCCCCCTAAACTCTCCTCACATTTTTCATACAATGACCACAGGCTTCAGTGGCAGACCATCTCTAGTTGGTGCATCATCTGCCACCATTAGTGTGTGAATGTCTCAATGTAGTTTAAAGCACTTTGGGTTCCTCTGGACTTCATAAAATGATATACAAGTACAGGTCATTTACTATTTACTAGCTGCCACATAAAATCCCAGTGAAAGGTGAGCATTTTTAAAATTCTTGTGTCCTTGATGTTGAAGTTATTTCTAGAGACAATGAATCAAAATGTCATGTATGTGTATTCTAAGCTGCATCTTTATCATTAACTTGTAATTAACTTGTAATCAGTTACCTAAATCAGTGTACAGAGCTGTAATAAAGTGTTTCCTTTTCAACACAGCACAACCCAAGTCAGAACGTTCGTTGGAGAAGCAAGTGAAACCACCACCTAAATACAGTTCTAAAGCCAACAAGAAAACTTCAAGCAGACAAAATTATGCAAGAAAGGACAAGAATGGTGGGCGGGCTGCAGACATGAGTTCTCTTCTGCCAGTAGAAGGAAATGCAGAGGGCGATGTGGAGCCTCGGGTGGAAATCCCTGTGCACAAACTGTTTCAGAGAACACTCAGCCCTGCTGATGTCCTGCATGTTCATAGCTACGCCAAAGGAGACTATGGAGAAGAAATCCTGCTGCAGGAGGAAGAACAGGCCATACACAGTAATAAAAAAGAAGACACCAAACATGTGAGTAGAGAATGGAATAGTGTTGGCATCTGTGATTCTACCTCAATCCAGATAATTCAAGTATTTTAACCTGTAGTAGTGCTGCTGTTTCTGATAAATGAATTATCTCACTATACTTCTACATCAACAACACATAGCAACAATATTTGTTGTTAAAATACTCAGTTGGTATTGCGGGTATTGAGATGTGACCAAACACAAGTTGATATGTTTTTTTAAGATGTGCGAAATTCATATCCCCTAAATCTGATGATTATTATTATGGACAGTTTTAATAATTTCTTTTCGGTGATCTTCTGTAATAATACTTGTTCATACTGTTTACCTTTTAGCAGAACATGTGACTTTTGGTTTTAATTCTCTGTACTTCCAGCAAGTGGCAGAAGTGTTGCCTCCTAATGCAGAGCTGGAATGTAATCCAGATCAGCTGCCACGCCCCCCACACATGAAAGATAACAGCAGTGAAAAAGGTCTGTCCTGACATGAAGTTTTTCTTTCATCTTTCTTGTTCACTTGAATATTGAAACTTAATGAATGCATTTGTTTTTCTGCCAGACGCCTTAGAGGAGCTTCCCCCAGTGGAGGCAGGTACTTTGGAAGGGGACAACTGGGCCAAACCTCTGACCCATTTGTGGCAGAATAGCCCTCCCAATCTGAAGAAAGAAAGGGAGTACAACCAGCACATGGGCTCCAAGCCTCCATACTGCTCCATCTGTATGCTCTTCCAAACACATCAACAGGTATTCCTCTCAATCAGAGCGATCACAACACCTGAGCGGTTTTCTGACTCTGACATGAAGCATTTCTGTTAGAATAATTATGTTTTGTTATCATTCTTACATTTGTAGTTTTACTGATTTGTTTTTCATTCATAGAGTTAGTATTCACATCCCAGAGAGAAGGAACTTGTTAGACCTTGAAGCTGCAGCTACTTCTTATCTTGGGACTCTCCTTGAATGGCCTGTGTGTAGATCTTCCTTTGTCCTCCCTCCACATCCCGCGGCGGGAGGACAAAGCACCTTGAAGAAGTGCTTTGCTATGTCTTCTCCTTTTGCAAAACACTTGATTGAAAACTCATAAACGTCTGTGGTTCTCTTTTTATGTAGGTTGAGAAAATACCTGTCAATTTTTTTTTGTCTCCATACCAAATTAAGAATGACAGACTTTATTTTTCTGAGTCCTCTCAGCATGGCAATAACTGCATTAAGACAATTCTTTTGAAATGTTTTAATTCTGGGGATATGAAATATTGTAATTTCCAGACTATTGAGTGTACCTGAATATAATCTGCACCTACTGCACAAGTGCAACCTGCATATAGAGGCCATGCTTGTCTGCTGGGGTCTATGTTGTAATAGAGAGATTCACAGTTTTTTTTACTTTTAAAGTAATGCATACCAGTAACATATCATATTACCAGTAGCATATCCTACATGCTTTCTGTTTTCAGAAAAGTCCCTGTAACAAATCTGCTTTAAAAAATGGTATTTTACTTGGCATCTGAGCGGGCAGGTATCACTGCGCTAGACTTTTTCATTGTTCTTCATTTTGTCAAATGTGGTGAAAAAAATCCCAAACTATTTTTATCAATTTTTTAAATTATGATAATGTCATTCAATTATATTTCATTTGAATGAAATAAATTCATTTCAAATGAATAAGCTTGTTATTATATAACAAGCTGAGTAGAGAATCAAATGTGTCATGTTTTGATCTGGAGGATGAATCCGGTCTCTGCTACTGCACTGAAGGCTAGAATTACAAGCGCCGCTTCAGCCAAAGTTTTGAAATTGGGAAACTTTTCTCCAATTGAAGCAGTCAAGAAGTTGGAAAGAAAAACTTCCGTCTTTCTTTCCTTCCTGTGTCTTCCCACAGGCAGAGAGTGCCAGCGGCGTGGACAGTCATGTCGTTCGTGCAGGTGGGAGGATGCAGACCAAGCCTCTCATCCCAGAAATGTGTTTCACCATCACCACAGAAGAAGACACAGAGTGTGAAGAACAACCCGTTGCACATTATTTAGAGGAAGATGGAACCAGCCTCCTCATCAGCTGCTCACAGTGCAGTGTTTGGGTTCACACCAGTCAGTACACCAGCACGCTTTACATCTACACAGCATAACTTTGTTTTATAGTGCCATATGCTCTAAACTCTTAAATGATTCAGCTATAGATGCCCTATAATCCCTACTTTCCTGTGTGTTTGTGTGTGTGTGCATCATTTAGGCTGCTACGGTGTGAACCCAGCCAGTGTGAGCAGCGAGTGGAAATGTGCACGATGTGAGGCCAATGCTATGAATGAGGTTGGTATTAAAATGAATGACCGTTTGGTTCTTCCTGAGAGTGACTTTGTGAGAGGTGTTATATCGCATAAATTCAGCTTGAGAATGTCTCTTGGATTCTTTTGTTTTTTTAGTGCTAAAAGAATCAATTTCCTTAAAATGTCTTTCCATTTTTTTCCTTTTGTTACACTTAAACATTTTAGGTCACCCAACAAATTTTAACATCAGACAAAGATGCACCGTGTAAATACAAAAATTTGTTTTTAATGATCATTTTTGTCCATTACAGTAGATGGAAAAAACTTTTTCCCGTTATTAAGGAAATCATCCTAGAATTCTTTTTTTTAATCTTATATCTAATTTTGTTTTATCTAAATTATCTATGCATCATGGTTTTGAAGAAATCTGTAAAATGAAGCATTGTATATGTACAGTCTGAATAAAAAGTTGTAGTTTTTGAGTGATTTAGTTTTTTCTTTTATTCTCTCATTAATAATTATGAACAGTTCATGTAAGCTCTAAAAGAAGTCATCAATGAAAAGGATGAGAAAAATACAAACCTGTAATGTCTGACCCTTCTCACTTAAGAAGAAAATTAGTCAGCACAGATATTGTTGAAATATCCTATTATCAGGATATTTCAACAAAAATAAACAAGATACACAACACAAAAAATGCCACATTTCTTCATCGTAATGGTTTTCAATTTTCTTTTAAATGCAAAAGAAATTTAGATTATTTTATCTCACATCAAGATTGTCAAGATTATATATTAGTAGATCTGTGCCATGTGAAAATTGTTCTGAGTAAATACTGTCTCAAAGTTTTCATCTCCAGAACGTGTAATGCCAGCAGAGAAAGAATAATCTTACTGCTTCCAAAAGTTACTTTGATTTTGACTGGACCCTTTTATGAGACTTCTTCTTTTTGCAGAGTTGCTGCCTGTGTTTGCTAAGAGGTGGAGCCCTACATAAAACCACCAATGATAAGTAAGTTCCAGGCTTTCCAAAGTGTGTGGCATGCCTCCCCTAGGGGGCGCCAGAATTCTTTAGGGGAGAGCCAACATGAGGGGGAAATAAACCAGAAAATGTAAATGCAAACATTTAGCTAATAACTTCACCTAATCTATGCCAGAGGCAAAATAAATGGATTTTTAGCCCCTAAAGCTACTGTGAGTTTGGAATACAAAGTAGAAGATAGAAAAGTCCACATTGTGAACATATTGTGTTTCTAAAGCCATTTGTGAGCTTTAGAAACAGGGTAGTATGTAAAATTAACTTTTTTGAAGTTTTCTATCATGTTGCATTGTTTTACACTCTTCAAAAAATATACCTTAAATGTTGCTTTGATTCTTTCTGCCATTTTTGAGGGGGCTTTGAATCTCTCCTGGCAGCCATTCAGGGATGCCTAAACACTTGCTACCACAAAGCACCTCCTTGGACCTGCATTGTCCAGCCAAACTTCTTACTCAGAGAGCACCCCTCCCAACCACTCCCACACTCAGTTCCTCCAGACTAGGGACAGCAGCAATTAGCAAACACTTTGTGGAACTGTAGGTCTGCTGATCATAGGAACGACTTGGCAGTCTAACTCATCTGAGAATTGTTGTAAACAGCTTCATGGATTACATGCTGAGGCAGTGTGTCGGAAAAAGTAGGAGCTTCTTAAAGAGACAGAGGCCCGATTTCATTTTATAACAACTGAAGGTAACATAGTACCATTTTATTGCATAACCTCACCACTTTGTGCCTGGAAAATCCATAATACTGCTCTTTTAAGTTTGTTGGTTAATGCACCAGTTGGAATAAATAGCATCACAAAGTGTTGTGTGTTTTGTAGGTGGGTACATGTGCTGTGTGCTGTGGCAGTAATGGAGGCGCGCTTTGTCAACATTGCTGAAAGAAGTCCTGTGGATCTGAGTGGAATCCCTCTACAGAGATTTAAACTGGTGAGTTCACATGGTGTCACCACGAGCTGCAAATATTAAATAAAAGGAACAACTTTGTATTAAAGCCCAAATACAACCTTCTGTATTTAACAAGCTAAATTGTGTGAAAAAACAGTGAGCTTTAGGAGTGGGCATTTGTCATTCAGACATGTTTTCAGCTCTGACTCAGTAAAGACAAACATTTGATGACGGGAACAAGACAGGATATTTTCTGTTCTTTTGCTATCCTTAATGGCATGTTGAGCCCAGGCTGCTGTTTTTCCATTTCACAGAAATGTTACTACTGCAAGAAACGCGTGAAAAAGGCATCTGGCTGCTGTGTACAGTGCTCTCATGGCCGCTGTCCCACTGCATACCACCCTACCTGCGCCCAGGCTGCTGGGGTACTCATGCAGCCAGATGATTGGCCCTTTGTGGTTCACGTGACCTGCTGTCGGCACAAAGGTCCTGCTCAGATTGAGGTAAACCGCTGCACAGGATCTTTTCTCTCTTCAACATGAGTTTAGTTTTGATCTATTTATAGTTTAGAATGGACCTTACTCAGTATGATGTATGCATTAATAATGCTACTTGTGGCTTTTTCTGCTGCAGCGCAATAAGGCAGCAATGCATGAGCTTACTGTGGGTCAAAAAGTCATCTGTAAGCACAAGAATGGCCGTTACTATCAGTGTGATGTAGTTCAGCTCTCAAAAGAGACCTTTTATGAAGTCAACTTTGATGACGGCTCCTTCAGTGACAACCTGTTCCCGGAGGACATTGTGGTATGTTTTATTTGTCTTTGCATTAAAAACATCTAGAGTAGTAAGCAGAGATGTAAAGGGCATTGTTCATTTTACCTGAATTTAAATAAGTTTATCTTGAGATTTAGAAACGAGACAACAGTTTTTTGGATTAGCCTAAATGTGGCTTTAGGCTAAAGGTATGCCTTTAACACCTGAAAGTGTTAAAGGTGACTGATGAGTTTTTGTGTGTGTTTCTTTGCTCAGAATCAAGACTGCACTCAGCTTGGCCCCCCACCGCAGGGTGAAGAGGTTCAGGTGCGCTGGACAGATGGGCTGGTCTACGGGGCCAAGTTTGTGGCAGCTCATATTATTCAGATGTACTTGGTAAGTATTTTTTTTTGTTTGTTTAATTTGTGTCCAAATAATCTTGGACTTTATGTTCTTATTAGCAAGAACTGCATAATTTATTGTCTATTTAGGGAGACGATTCCATGTATAAGGGAGTGTTTTGTGGTACAAAATACAAATAAAAAAATCATCTTTGATTATTGTTAAATCAAAATCTCAAAACCATGAGATATTTTGGATGATTAACTAATTAATTATTTGCAGTTTTTGATAATTTATCAAATAAAATGAAATCAAAATATTACAATTGTGAAAGAATACATGTTAATATATGCTGCTGTTCCAAACCACAGGTGGAATTTGAAGATGGCTCACAACTAACAGCCAAGAGAGATGATGTTTATACTCTGGACGAAGAACTTCCCAAGAGAGTTAAATCCAGACTGGTTAGTTCAAATTCACCTTTATTTAACAAACCAATGTTGTAGCGTATAATTACACAATGCTGTCATTAAATAGTCCATGTAACACTTATTATTCTCTCGGCAGTCTAAGGCATCAGATATGAGGTTCGATGGCATTTTTGAAGACAATGAGATTATCCAGGAATCCAAGAGACAAAGAGTGATCAACTCCCGCTACAGGGGCGATTACATTGAGCCTGTGATTTACAGAGCCATCATGGAGTAGACCCTCACACCTGGTCAGCCCATCTTACACACCAGCAGCACCGTTGGACTGAAGTGTTTTAATGCACCTTAACTTTGCAGCTAATTTCAGGCAATGTAGCAGCAGCTGGGTTCTTCAGGTTCTGCATGGACTGCTGCCTGTTTCAATGCTTTGTTCTCTTTGCTGGACTGTGAGGTCAAAAAATGTTTTATTCTGATGACATTTTTGCAGAGGACTCCTTACAACGATGTTAATGGGCCACAAGCTCAAGCATTACTTCAAGGATACATAACATAACTGAGTAAAGTAAGATGTTTGAAAACTGGGTTAATGCTAGAATGTAAAGTCAGTGGTTGTGCTGATGCAATCTTAAAGAACAAAGTTTCATTAAACCGTCCCTAACTGAGTATTTTCCTCCCAAGATCAGCTTGTTCCTAATTTATTTCAGATTTTGTTTTTAGTGGCTATTAAAAGGTTTCAGAGAGGGGAACACACACAGCCCAAATATTATTCTAAACCTCTACTTCACATTCAGCCCTTTAGTTTTTATTCTGCTGAAAATGGTAGAAAACAAAAGAGAGTTGAATCCCTCAACATTTTCAACATTTAAAAAGTAATTTCTGTCCAATGACTTGTGGACATGATGTGTCACTGCTAAAATTCTTAAACCTTGAAATAAGGTTGGACTGAAATCCTGTCATTCCAAGCACACTTTCTTTATTCATGTACAGTGTGTGGTAATCAGTGAGGTTCAGACGGAGAAATCACTGGATATTTACCAGAAACTTCAGGAGTTGCTGCTTTTCACAAAAAACAGACCAGAATCCCACAATCTGACATAATGTCACTCAAAGTGGTTTCACAGATAAGTAAACACTCCTAACTTCAGTGTTTTGCCCAGGGACAGCTGGACATGTAAACTGGAAGCAATAGAAAACTTTTTTATTTCATAGATTTTAAAAGCTTTCAAAACTAATATGACATTTATCAATTATACAGATGACGCTCATTCTCTGTTTACTAGTCTCTGCTTGATGGATGGATGGAGCTTAGTGGACATGTCTGTCTCCGCCTCCAGAGGAGGAGGTCATTACCCATTAATGACTTGGCCTTCATTACAAAAGACTGCCCATCTTTTCAAAGTTCTACAGGATTGGGGAAATCTGTATCAAAAAAAAAAAAAAAAAACAACAACAACTTCCTTTTAAAGACTTTCTTCCAGTTCTCTGATTTTTAGTCCTGGTCCTCATGACCCACTGTCCTCCATATTTTACATGAGTATTTACTCCAACACACTTGAATCAAATGATTGCATTTCCTCCTCAGCTTCTGTCCAGCTTGTTAATCAGGCATTTATTCATGCATGTAAGGAAGCACCAAGCAGGAGGAGGCTTGAAAACCTCTGACCTGTTGAACAAAGGCAGCTGCTTTAAAACTGTTACGGAGAAGGCTGGCTTTACACTGACTGCAGACCAGGAGCTTAAAACATTTTTTATTTGTTCCAAATGGTTTGGAAACTTCCATTTGAAATATTTATGACTTTTCTTAATCTTAACGCTCTCACATCTTCAGTCTTGCAATAGAAATATTTTCATGGTATATATTGCATTTTAAAATCAACATATTTCAGAATTAAGAAACATATAAGGACTCTTTTGAATAAATAAGGTAAGGCTTTATTAAAATACTAATAATAAAAAAAATTGAACCACCAATGAAAAATGATTTTTTTTTTGTTTCATCTCTGGGACATTTTTCTTGGATTTTGATTCAGGTTTTTAGGTGTCATGTAAGTGTTGCAACAATCATTTCTTTAGGCATGTAAAATGCAGAAAAAGTGTTGCATTGGATGCTGTGGAGTAACAGGTTAAACTCTTTAATGGTAGCACAGCTATTTGATCCCATTTTATTAACTACATTCCCAACTTGAGAGACCTCCATCACTCTTTACTACTTATTATGGTGCGCTGAGACACTGGCATCTTCTTCATAAACAGTAATGCTGTTGAGTTTGTTCGATTACTTGACTTCTGCAGTTAAGTCTGCTGCTTTTAATGTCTTTATATTGCCTGCCTGTCCTACTCTGTTACTCTGTTTATTGGACTGCTGAGTCCAGTTTGTGGGCATTTGAACATCAAGGTGCTACTGTGAGTTTATACAGAAAACAATGGCGTTCGTTGTACATTTCTAAAAGTTTTGCTGACTTGTTCGTGTCCGGCTCCTCCCAACTATTTGGTCCCATTGCTTTGGTAGAACAAGATGGCCGTCAGACGTCATCATTATCAAGCAGGTTTTCGAGCTGGTTATTGGTCATGTGGGATCATTTTATGTTTTCTTTAGACTAAGTTGTACAGTGATCTTGTACTCTACTTTATTGTCCTGTTTGTAAAACGATCAGTGTATTTTTTCACAGAAGCTTGTGTAATGTAAATGTCATGTAGTCTATTGTAAAATCTTATTGAGCCAGCAGGGAGAGCAGTTACTTTTCATATTGTTATGCAGACATTTTGTAACATTTGTTTAATTAAAGAAATGTACTCTCAGTTCATTCATTCAGTTATCTTTGTTCAATGGAGGGTTCTTTATGTCAAAACTAAAGAACCCTCCATGATTAGAAATGTGTCAGACTGAACACACACTGTGGAATATATGGAGATACCTCATTATTGCCTTCCTTATTTCCAGCAGTAATTGGAACATCTTCCAGCTCAAATATTTGCATGCATACTCTTTAAGTAAAGTGTTTGAAATAACTAAGTTTGTGAGCTACAGAAATTGACTTAATCTACATTTGAAGATTTGCTGTATGTCCTATATTACAGAAAAGTATAGTAACAAATATTTCCAAAGGCATTAGACAGAAACAAATTTCCAGCCCGACTTGACCAATAAGGAACCCATTTTTTTTTAATGATGGAAACTCAAAGTGTTTATTTGTGCAATGTGGTTGTCGAGACATCACTCCACTTAGCTCAATTGTTAAAATAATAATCTTGGATGAACAAAAGGAAGCACCTCAGACTATTTCAACAACCCTAATTTTGTAATCGTTTTAACTCTTCCAGAAAAATATGTATTTGTTTAATTCAGGAAGATGCTATTAAAGTCCCAAGATGCTCCTCTTGGGACTAATAGAATAATCAAGGCATGCAGTGGATTTGGAAAATACTCAAATTTATTAAAATTTTTCACTCTTTGTTTTTTGCAGCCTGTACTAGTAACCGCCTCCCACCAGCCAGCCACGCAGTCCAGGCGGTACGCATTGATGCGTTCGGCGGCGCTCCCTGACGACCCACAAAAAATGTGGTCCAGATTGGTGGATTTAAGCCGAGTTTGAAGCCGATCAATGGAAATCCCTAGGAGGAGTTTGATCAAATAGGCTGTAAACGGCAAAACTGGGGTCAAAATCGGAACTTCAATCCAAAATGGGCAACTTCCTGTGATATTTGCACTATGACATTAATTGTAATTTTTGAGCGTCTTGGGAAGCTCTACAAGTATACCAAATTTCATGTCTCTACAATGAAGTAAAGGAATAGCAAAGGGTCCTTTGAAAATTGCTAGGTGGCGCCATTGAGCCGTTTATATTGCGATATTTGCAACGACCTTAAAATACAAAAATTTTAAACAGACTCAAGGCCTCCGTCAAGTTTGGTGAGTTTTTGAATATGACAAAGGCCCCAAAAAGCCTATTCATTTGGAGGGAGAATCGTAATAAGAAGAAACAGTATGAAAACAATAGGCCTTCGCAGCGCTTTGCTGCTCGGGCCTAATTATGCTTCTTAGAATACATTTGGAAACTTTTTAAACTTTGTAGTTACAGTGAAGGAGGAAACTTATTCCCTTAAACTTAAAAAGATGTCATGTATAAAATATTCCAAATAGAGATGGCGCTGTTAGATATTTTTCCAATTCACTTTGAATGAATGATTTAGCTCTCTAAAATCAAGAAAATGTTCCGAAGTAATGTTAGCACGATTTTACATAAGGGATTTCATATTTGATCAGAGTGTAATTGCCTAAATATTGGGACAGCGCCAGGCCTTGAGTTCCCCTCTGCTTTAGATAACAATGTCTGTCATCTTAAACTCAAGGAGATTTTTTAATTTGATCAATTCTTGAAATGAGGTTGTTCAACATCGCCTGGATGACAGAAAAAATTCTGGACTTTGAAGAATTTCCAGTATAAATACAACTTTAAATGCAATAAAAAAGAAGTTCAAGCTGAAATTAAAGGTCTTCCTCAGGTTTTGATTAACACAATACAAGCTTCATTATTTTATACAGCCTACCATGACTTTAACCTCTGTTTATTCAGGGCCACATTTTTACAGACAAAAATTGCAACAATAAATTTTTAGGAAGAATCATCATCCAAAGGACTTTCTTCCCCTGAAAAGAAGAAATATACTCCAAGAATTTTCTTTAGATGCAATTGACCCCCAATTGCTTTTGCGGGACAATTCCCTTGACCCCCAAAAGCAATAGAAGTTCATTTTAAAATATGAAATAATATTTATCTATGTAAAAAATACTTAAGACTAATTTGATATTGAGGCAAATGATTATAACTTGTGTGAATCTGATGTAGAAACTTTGTAACATTTATCCTTTTCTTGTACTTATGGTTCAAAATTTTGGGAGGAGTTTCATAATTGGTTGCTGACCAACAATTTAAATATGCCAACTTCAACTTACAACAAAATGGTATTCATACTTTGGACACAAATTTGGAATTAATATTTAATAACCTGATCAATATGGCCAAATATTACCCGCACAAATGTACATATTTGAAAATTACCCCAATCTTCGATGTTATCTAAAAGAAATCTCACTTCTGTTCAACTCTGTGAAAATGACTGGAACAAAGATGCTGCTCTCCTCTGTAATAATACTGTATGTCCCATTTGGTTTTTGATATTTATCCATTTAACAATTTAGACACAGTACAAAATTCAAGTTCAGTCTATTACGCTTTATGCTTATTTTACTTTCCAATATTCCAATTGTGTTAAATGACTTTCATGTCATTCTGTAACCCCTTTCTTTGCTAGTCACTCAAGATACTTGAACAAGAATCTTTAAAAGTTATCTCACTCCTGAGCCATAGGTGGCGGTAAAACAAACATTTGAAGAAGCTTGAGCCATCACGCTCACCGTACTGGTTGCGTGTTCAACATTTCGCGCGAGTTTTGATATAAATTAGAGGAAAGTTCCCGTTGTCGTAAACTGTAGGATGTTTTGGCTTTAGAAGGTTCACATTAGCGTGTCGGTGGAAGCGCTGTGTTTAAGTTAAACAGGACGATTATGTAACATAGAGGAAACAGCAAAAATGGTAAATGGGTCAAAGTTTTTTCTTACTGCGTTATTTAGTGTGTTAAGTTTTAGACCAATTTGTGTCTCTGCTTGTCCGTGGCAGAGGAGGAGCCTGGCCCCCAGTGAGCTGGCGAAACGCAGAGCAGCGGGAGAAACCTGCGGCGGAAACACCGTAAGCCCGGTTCAACCCGGTGAAGCCCGGTTCAACCCGGTGAAGCCCGGTTCAACCCGGTGAAGCCCGGTTCAGCCCGGTTCAACCCGGTTCAGCAACACTGCAGCACAGGGACATGACAGAACAGGGTCTGAATCCATCATAGTTCAAAATCAAAAACACTTTTTAAAAAAAAAATTGTAAATATAAAAGGGTAGGTTAACTTTTATGTTCAAGCTTTAAAAATGCATCAGATATGAAAGTGTATTTCAGTGAATTCAGAATTTTCGTAGAATTCAGTTTAATTGGATTTAATTGGACCGGGCTCGGTGTTTTTGATTTGAACTGTAGTTCGTTGATGTTTCAGAGCAGTTAAATAAATATTTGAATGATGAATTAGAAAGTGATTTGTATTTAAACCTCACCTGCCTTCATTTGGATCTGTTAAACACTCCATCATGACTAAAACCAGGACAGTCTTGAAGTTTCACTGACGATGTTTTCTGTGATAACAATTAAAACTGTCTATTTGGCTGCATCACTACCTCCAGTCTCACAATTTAAACACTGAACTCTGCATACAGCCCGAGTCTTCCGTAAGAGTTGTAGACACTGGATAGAGAAGGCATGTGTCTTTCTTCTGTTCTTTAATTGTTGGCCAGGCTGGACCTTTTCCCTTGTTTTAACTCTTTGAGGAATTTGATTTAACATACAACATTTATTTTTTCTTTGGGATCAATAACGAATTTTTGACTTTGAATAGAAAAGATCAGAGCTGCACTGATGATTGCGTTTTAAACTCCTGCTGCTGGTGTTTGGTTTCATACAAGACTAAACAGGTTTGTGGAGCTGACCAAAAGTGTTACTGATTGTTTGAGTTTCTCTTTTTAGGAGAAGAGAAGGAAAGTGGATGTGATGTGGGAGAGTCGCATTTCTCCCTACAGGAAGCCTCTGACACAACTTAACTGGCCTGGATGCATGGAAGCTGACGGACATGGACATGTAAGCATAGTTGAAAATCCCAACGTCCCTGAAAACGTTTCCCTGTCTTATTAAAAGTCTCGTCTGCAGGAGTCATTTATCCGAAGCATTCTCTCCAAGCCTTTTAAAATTCCCATTCCCAATTACACAAGTGAGTTTTACTAGCAGAGCGACTTCTCTTTAATAATCCAGTGATGGAGAAGGACTTTGCCATCTGTTTCCTTTTGGAATTCCTGACAGGTTCACTCGGAAGCAAAGCACTTGGCCTAAAGCATGCAGAAGTGAGGAAATCGCTCCATGATCCATTTGCAGAAGATGCCTTGGTTCTTTATGAGCCGCCAACTCTGAGCGCTCATGATCTGATCAAAGCTGACAAGTAAGTTCCAGACACATAGTTTTCTTTTTTATACTTTATTTTTAATCAGATTTTTAAACATGACAAAAGACTACACCACAAGAAAAAAGAAGAAAAAAATCAGACGGACATTCCAGACACATAGTTTTCTTTTTTATACTTTATTTTTAATCAGATTTTTAAACATGACAAAAGACTACACCACAAGAAAAAAAAAAAAAAAAATCAGACGGACATTGAACAGCACTCAGAACAGAGGTCACCAAGGCAGGGGGACAGCATACGTCGCATCAAAATAAACTGAAACAGACAGCTTTTTGGTGAACAGGTTACAGTAAAGTTTCATAAAAGAGTCAAAGAGTTGGGAGGTTTATCCAGAATGACCAGGTCCTGCCACACCGCACAGCACTAAGCCCCAATTACCACGCCGTAAAATAAAGAAATGATAATCAACTTACTTTCAAGTTCCTATATATTAACCATTTCAACCAATATTTTGGGATTTTGTTTTCCTGAAGTCTTATGGAGAAGGTAAGCATTTCCATTTCATGAATTTCTTCAACAGAGGCTGAGCAGTCACATAACTGCAGAGAGTTCCCACTAAGCCACTGTTTTGTTATTGATTTCTTTCCTGCTAGCAATAATGATTTTAGAAGGTATTTATCCTCAGAATTGAGTTCAATTGGTAAATTGCTTAGATATATAGTTTTAAAATCATGTTCAATTTCAAAAAGAATT